CGCCGCCACTTTAAGTTAATATATATAGGTTATGCTAGTTACATGAAAGGACATATCTGCCCTTGGTGTTTACATCATAACTGCTAACAAATAACAAACAATATAAAACTAAAACTAGAAATAACAGAATAGAAAAATAACCACAGTTGTGACTAAATACATTCTACCCTACGGACAGAGTGAGACCACAGCTGTGGGGCCCACATCAATGTTCTCTATAGATATCACGAAATTCTTTGCTTTGCATGGATCACTTCACCATAGTTCATGTGTCTGAACACCACAACAAAATGATGCTGAAAGAAAAACCGACACCTTTTTGAAGTGGCCAGGGGTTTACTCATTCATATGAATGTCCCGAAACGTTTTTGGCTTGAAGCTATCCTTTGTGCTACCTATCTCATTAACCGTATGCCCTCTCGCTGGTTAGAGTGCAAAGCCCCACATCAGCTTCTTTTTCCTAAGACTCCTCTTCTTTCTATTCCTCCCCGTGTGCTTGGTTGTCGTTGCTTTGTTCAAAATCCGATGCCCAACTGTGGAAAATTGGATCCTCGTGCTATTCCTTGCATCTTCTTGGGGTACTCCCTCACTCAAAAGGGGTACTGATGCTTTGATTCCGTCTCTCGGAGATATTATGTTTCTATGGATGTCTCTTTTTTTGAGAGTGAGCCTTTCTTCCCTGTTTCTCCTCAGGGGGAGTGTAGGAATGAGGAGAAACTGGTTCAGCTACCTCCTCTTCCTGACCCTCCTCCCTTTCGTGTTCTCTTTTGACGTCACAAAGGCCAACCAAGTTCAAGAGCTGTGGAGCATCCAGAAGTTGTACCACCAATGCCATCAAACTCTCCGGGGGTGGATCCTTCCTAACCAGGTACCTTGGTTCCCATTGATGTTCCTGACCCTATTGCCATTGATACCTCTATTGCTAATGACCTTGACCTTCCTATTGCTCACTGGAAAGGTGTTAGGTCTTGCACCACTAAACACCCCATGTCCCACTTTGTTTCCTATGAGAACATTTCACCTTCCTTTCAGGCCTTTCTCTCTTCCATTGGCAGTGTTCCTATTCCTAAGAATGTGGCAGAAGCTCTTTTAATACCTAAATGGACAGATGCTATAAAGAAAGAGATTAATGCTTTACATAAAAATGGCGCATGGGAACTTGTAGATCTTCCTAAGGGGAAGGAACCAGTTGGGTATAAATGGGTTTTCATAGTAAAACATAGAGTTGATGGCACAATGGAGCAGTATAAAGCTCGTTTAGTGGCAAAGGGGTTTGCACAAGTGTATGGAGTGGATTATGCAGAAACTTTTGCACCCGTTGCTAAGATGAACTCCATTAGAGTTCTTTTCTCCTCAGCTTCTAATCTTGACTGGGACCTTCATCAACTTGACATTAAGAATGCATTCTTAAATGGTGACCTTGAAGAGGAAGTATACATGGTACAACCCCCTGGTTTCCGAGCTCAAGTTAATGAACAAAAAGTGTGCAGGTTAAAAAAATCATTATATGGCCTAAAACAATCACCAAGAGCCTAGTTCAGTAGGTTCCATGTAGCAGTTCAGCAAAGAGGATACAAGCAGTGTCAATCTAATCACGCATTGTTTGTGAAAAGAGGGGAAAGAAAGATTGCAGCACTGATAGTATATGTTATGATATAGTTATCACTGGTGATTGGAATGATGAAATTCAAAAGTTGAAGAATTTCCTTGCTACCCAGTTTGAAGTGAAGGATGTAGGTCCTCTAAGGTACTTCCTTGGGATTGAAGTGGCCCGCTCACAAAAGGGTATCTTCATTTTCCAAAGAAAGTATGTCCTAGATCTACTCCAGGATACAAGAAAATTGGGAGTAAAGCATGTTGATTCCCCTATTGATCCTAACTACAAATTAGGAGACTGTCAAGGTGAACCCATTGAGGATGTGAAACAGTTTCAGACTTGTAGGAAGACTGCTATATCTTTCTATTACTCGACCAGACATTGCTTATGCAGTGAGTATTCTTACTCAGTTCATGCATACCCCTAAGACTACCCACCTTGAAGCAGCAGAAAGAGTTCTCAAATATCTTAAGAAGTTCCCATGTGTAGGCGTGTTGTTTCAAAAGCACGGGCATTTGAAAGTTGAAGTGTATACTGATGCAGATTAGGCAGGACCCTTGAATGATAGGAAATCAACCAGTGGCTATTGTACCATTATAGGATGGAACCTAGTTACCTAGAGAAGCAAAAAGCAGAATGTGGTAGCTAGGTCTAGTGCTGAAGTTGAATATCAGGCAATGTCTCATGGAGCAACTGAAATTATGTGGCTAAAAAATTTGTTGAGTTGGGTTTTCCAGTCGATGGACCTATGACTCTTTACTATGATAACAAGGCAGCCATAAACATCGTTGCTAATCCTGCGCTGCATGATTGAACTAAGCATATCGAAGTTGACAAACATTTCATTAGAGAAAAGGCTGTCACAGGGGAAGTGTGTGCTCCCTATGTCAGTTCTAATGACCAACTTGCAGACGTCTTCACAAAAGGGTTACATCACTTGCAACATTATGATTTATGTGACAAGTTGGACATGATTGATATCTATGTCCCAACTTGAGGGGAAGTGTTGAAAGGTTATTATTCTATAAGTTTAGTACCACAGGGGTACTTTGGTACTTTCAACATCTTTTATTTTAAGTTCTATCGCCCTAGTATAAATAATAAAAAGCTAGCGCCGCCAGCATCTCTCTTCTCTCTTCTCTCTTCCTTTCATCCTTCTTCTCTTCTGGACAACAGAGCTAATGCAAGAAGCAAGTGATCAGATAGTTAATGAAATATTCCAACTTTTCAATGTAGTTTTGTTTTGTAGACAAAAGAAGTTTTTTGGTCATTTTTCATATGTTGTTTGTAAAATCTGGACAACTTAGCATAGGAAGGAGCTTGCCTGACCCCAGTGTCTACTTTGCATCTTCAGAAGAAATAAATAAGAAAAGAGAGGGCATACTTCACAATATTCAAATTTCTTCTATTCTATTTATTCAATCTATACAAGAAAGAGAAGGGAATCAATCTAACCTAAACACCTCCATTTGTTTTGATGGTTTCTGATGGAAAAGAGATCCCTTTTGCAGTTGCTTGTGCTCTAGCAAGGATGGCTTTTGCTTCTCCTAATGGTTTAAAGAATAGACTTGCCAAAGAACCAAAGCATGACAATTTTGATATATTATTACAGCTTTCACCACTATCATTATCCAAAGCCTTTCCCCAACAGGTGGGGTTGACTAAAAAACAGTAAAACACTATTAATTATAAAGATATAATTGTTCTCATATTTGAGTAATAAAACTACTTGATCTTGTTACCAATTAAAAAAACTATACATAGTACAATTAAACAAAGCATAAAAATATTTAAAAAAAAAAAAAGCAATCCAATTAAACATTTTAACTCCTAAGCAGGTACATTCTACAAAACCGGTATCATTCAGACCAAGGCATTCCTAAATAATGAACCAAGTGGAGCAATGATAATAGAAGTCCAGAACTAGGGTACTGGTACAAAATATTCTCTAATTCAAATCTTAATGTTGAAATGGGTTAGCACTCCTTTTCCAATAATAATTCACTGTTGCCTTTGAGCTTTCATCAATAAGGCATCTCATCAAACACAGACATGTCATCCCCATAAAAAGTCATCTGTGCCACTTTCCTTTCATTTGTATCCAAGATTTTTTTTTTCTCGAGTAAATCAACATGTCCTTTGTATTTCATTCTTCTCTATCTTTTTTCTTGCAATTAGAATATTAGATTTGGTTATGAGAAATTAGTAGTTTACCATTATCTATTTATTGCTACGTGGAGTTATGAATATTGAAACATCAGTCCTAAAGTACAGAGCTTCCAAAGCTGGTGATAGACAGCAAGTCCAGAAAGGATTATCCAATTCAAAGAATACATACAGGATAATATTCTCATGAAATTCCCAATTTGAAAATAGGTTTGCTTATCATTACCACCATCTTCTGGTCAATTATGCAGAACTTTTCTAAAACATAAATCCAAGGTCTGTACTGCCCATATGGACTTCAGCTCAATTTACAAGAAAGCAAAATTTGCATATATATGCAAGGCTAAAAAGATGGATAAAGCTGACTAATTTACCTCATTCTCTATATCCGTCATGTGGCTTCTGCCTATAAGATCAATGAAGTTCGTTCCCAATCTGCAACATTACTGTTTGCCTGCCTTTCTCCTGTTAAATTGAAAATAAGATCATCTTCATCATCAGAAATGCTAGATAATTGAGAGATGAGGAGTTTCACCAAATATCAGTTCTAATCCTTAGAGAATGTTAAATGGTCTTCTTGATCAGAGTTTTATGGCTGTTGATGGTTGTAAAGGCTTCTTGAAGGAATAAGAGAGAAAATACCCAGAATCACTCACAGGGTGCCTAGAATCACTCTAGTGCATGGGAATCACTCACCATAGCTAGCATAAGCTGAAGAAAACTCAATATAATTCATTGCCTTTGTGAAAAACATCCATACATATTTATAGACTCTAAACTCATAATAATCCTAGGAGTCAAACTGTTAGACTCATAATAGTCTTAGGAGTAAAATTGTTAGACTCAATAATCCTATTAGGATTCAAACTAAGTTGTCATATCCTATTTCAATTCAAAGATGACTCAATAACTCTAATCCTACTTATGCAATGACTCTGAAATTTTAAACATAAACAAACTATAACTAGACAATTTAAACAGTCATTGGACCCCACAGAAAATTGCAAAAATGACAAAAATGCCCCTACTGTCCAAAAATACAGAAATACATAAAATTCCAATTTTGACTCTTCAGCTCCTGCATCACATAATCATGCAAGCCACTACCCCATAATTTTTTTAATCATTAAAAAAATTAGAGGAGCTTTATAAATCAAATAAAACAAAAGATGAAAAGAATACAAACAATAAAAAAATGCAAAAGATTTATCAAAAAAAAAGCAAATGCAAAAGAACAAATAATTTAACTTGAAAAGAAAAAGATTAGGGACAAACAGAAGACCTGATTTAAAAACTTAAGCTCGTTATCTATGTTCTGCTTCTTGTATCTCTACGGCTGCTCTCACTCCAGAGAAAGAGACGTATCCCCTGGAAAGAATACGACCATAAATATGTACAATCTGCTAGGAGGAAAAAAAAATCCAATAGAAGGAATATAGATTGTACCTTACTTATAACATAGACACTTCAGATCCAATTTGTGGCAGCCTCATTGATTGATTTCTGCAACAGCAACGTGTGCAACAATTATTAACATAATTAGAGATGAATCTGAAGGACAACTTTACCAGAGATGTATGTTGTAGAAAATACAACCATCTAGACAGGACCATCAATGAATAATATTAGCTGGTCAGATCAACAGCAAAGAAGGAAAGAGTCTCGTTCTAATTGCTCTTCATTAATAAGCCTTTCTTTTACTTTCTGCTATGTCCTGTACTTTTTAGAAACATGCAAGACCCAAGGTTTCTAACAAGTTTTTCAATCTTGAAACTTGTTGAGTGCACACTCAATTATAGTATGGGAAACTCTACTACAGTAAGGGTTTTAATTCATGTGCATTAGTATAAAGCCTAACGAAGGAGCCACGCCCCATGTCAGAACACTTGCGGGACAAACATCATATTCCCATGGTGCATGTTGTTTGCTGATGACATTGTTTTAATTCATGAAACTAATGAAGGATTAAATACAAAATTAAGCTTATGGACAATGCAGCTTTTAAAACAAGGACTAAAACAAAATATATGATATGTAAATCTAATAATAATAGCAATGCATATCAGGGCACACTTAGGATTGGAGACCAAAAGATAACTCATTGTGAACTTTTACAGTACCTTGGTTTGACAATTCATAACTAAAGAAGAGATTGAGGAGGATGTCACCCATAGAATTAGCAGGATGAGAAAAATGGAGGGGTGCATGAGAGTTTTATGTGATAGACAAATACCACTTACATTAAAAGGAAAATTCTATAAAATAGTTGTAAGGCCAGCCATGCTGTATGGAGCAGAATATTGGGAAGTCATGAAACCCAATATATCCAAAAACTGGGTGTGGTAAAAATGCTATGTTGAGATGGATGAGTGGAAAAGCTAGAAAGGATCAGATCAGAAACGAAGTCATTTGAGTAGCTCCAATAGGAGATAAAATGGGAGAAAGTAGACTAAGATGGTTTGCTCAGGTGCATAGAAGACCATCAACAGCACCCATAAGAAGTGATTTGTTGCCAATTGAGGGAGCAAGTGTTGTGAGAAGGGCTGATCTCTTGTTTATTTATATATTTGGGAGTATTTCTTTTTATTCTGTATCATATCACTGTATATTTCTTTATTCTTGTTTGAACTAGAGAAGGGCAGAACGGTCCTTTCCAACCTATTGTATTTCATTAATATATAACATAACTTGTTTGGACGTGTGGGACATTAGACACACCCCACAAACTGTTTCTCTTCACCTATATGAACCCTAGTTGTCATGGTATCAGAGCAGGTCTTCTACATCAACTTTTGTTCAAGTTCAGAAGATTTACATTCAAGCTTCCTGATCCTACTGCCAAAGACTACTTTGAGGACTCTTTGAAGGCTGTTCTTCTCAGTACGATTACAGCACTATTTTTTCTGATTTTTTGCCTTTCAGGTTGGATTTCTTATCATTTCTCTCTACTACTCGATCCAATCTTCTTGTGGTCCTGGATTCAGAGTGACCCTAGGCTCTAGAACCTATCCATTCACTTGGACAGGAGTTCAGACTCGATTTGAAGGGTTTTGATCCCTTTTCTATCTTTGACAGACCTGCAGCTTGCCTTTTCTGGACTGTTGCTTATGTGGTTATTTTTTCTGTGGTTATTTCTTGAAGGTTTTGATCCTTCTCCCTTTGCCCAGTTGCATATGTCGTTATTTTTCTCATATTAGAGGCTGGACCAGTTGCTTTTGAGCGTTTTGACCCATCTTTCAGACTTGTTCGAATCTGTATTTCCATCTCAGGACAGCTACGTATATTGGGGTTATTTTCTTGTGAGAAGTACTCGCCTCTGTGCTGAATCCCCCCATTTCTTTGTTATTTGCATCTTCAAGTCTGATTTAGGTTGGATTACAGCAAGGCTTTCCTTTATTACTTGCTTTAATACTGTTAGTAAACCCTAGCAGATTCTAGGTTGAAGTAGAGAAGAAGAAAGAAAAGAGAAAGAAGAAGAAGAAGAAGAAGAAGAAGAAAGAAAGGTTCGGCCAGACTAGAAGAGAGTCAAAATCACACTCCCCTAGCTGACCCACTTGTATTTATTCAAAAACATAGAGTTACAGGAAAG